AAGAAAGAAAGAAAGAAAGAAAGAAAGAAAAAAGGGAATAGCAAATATATCCTAGTAGTAGATGAAAAAAATAATATTTGTCTTGTTGAGAAGGTTCGCGAGAGGTTAAGTGAAATATGAGGACAAGACGAAAACGTGGCCATGTTTACCGTTTAACTGCGGGAAGTAGAATCTTAATCTGCTGCTTTTATTCATTTTTGGTGGCGGGTACGCAAAATCCCCCTTCCCCCTTAGAGACATGCTGAGATGCTATATATATATATAACAAATCTGTGAATCAATTTTCCGTAAAATAGTGCTCAATACATCCATAGAAGTGAGAGCAGAATATTAGTTTGAGAAGAAAAAGTCAAGACAACATTTTCCCCGACAAGCCTGTTTCGTGAATTGAGTGTAGCAATTCACGAAACAGGCTTTTATAAAATCCCCTGAAGAGTGAAGCAATTCACGAAACAGGCTTGTCGGGGAAAATGTTGTCTAGACTTTTTTTTATATACATAAATATGTGAGAAGAAAAAGAGAATACTACATTTCTCCCGATTTAATGATAAGAATGTTCTTGACTATCGTTTATATATAACACTGTACATAATTAATTAGGTAGTAAATATAGTTCAGCTGTTGCGTAGCAACGCTTTGTTACTGTGGCGGCATGAAGATACAAGTTCGTTTCGTTTATTTAATGATGAGAGTTCAGATCGGTAGATTATTAGAACTTTTTCTTTGAGGCAAAGGTTACATTTTTTGCTGGAGCTGTTGTAGGCAGAGCTTGATGATGATTATATAAATATATATATACTTTTTTGTAAATTATATCATTATATAAACATCGTGATTTTTTATTGTACCGTCACCCGGCTCAGTTCGTGATTGAAGCCTCGGCCGGACCAACACTCAGGGTCTTAAAATAACTGAGGAGAAAATGAATAGACCTTCAAGTCTTCTCGGACAAGCACTTAAAACCGTAGGCCCCGTCTGTCTTCACTTTATAACCCTGTGTAATGCGGACGTAAAAGATCCACTGAAGACGCTGGTGAAAACCGTCAGTGCAAGTGCTAAAAAAAAAAAAAAAAAAAAAAAAAGAAAAGAAAAAGAAAGAAAGAAAGAAAAAAAACCGAGGGCCTGAAGTTAATCAGCTAACAAAATTGTTGTCACGTGTCACCCTCATTAAAGGGCCACTTCGATGAAAATGGATAAAAATTTGAAATGACTTTAAACTTAGTTAAACATATCTGTATGGCCCCAATAGTAGCCAAGCAACATATTTTCTTCACAGTTAAATGTGTCGGATAAAAATCATCAATTTTATGCAGCATATAGATTGTGGGTAAATGGCGTCTTTTACTCAACCCTATTGTTCTTTTAACCCAAAATTTCTCAACTGCAAGTGGCTCCCAGGCGAAAATTTTCACTAATCTGGTTTACATGATCATAATTGAGTCAAATTATCCACAAATACTTCAATTATTCGGACTTTGAAAAATTGGGGCGTTTTTATCCAAGTGCCCCTTTAAATAAAGTCTTCAATCAATCAATCAATATACGCGCAAATATGTTGTTATATATCATGAATAAGAACGGGTTGCGTAGCAGGGTAAGAGCTTTCGCCTCTCATGGAACGAGGGCCACAGGTTTGTTAGCCATTGGCTATTAAGTGCTTTCCTTGTAAGAACAAAGAGGGTTCAGTATCATACAAACAGACATTAAATTCATATCCCCTTGGTACCCTTGGTACAGGGCACTCAACCAGGCTCCAAAAACTTCAGAATAGATCTGCACAATTGATAATGTCTATGAGTAACGATACACCTGCCGAAGAGGCCTTAAATGCGTTAAGCTGGGTTATTCTAGAAGCTCAACGAGGAAAGTCTAAAGCTAAACAAATGTCAGGTATAAAGGGATCAATGGTTTGGCTCCGAATTGTCTAGCAGCTGATCTTTTCTCTAGTAAGGATATTACGACACATTATAGCTTTTCCTGGCTCCTCTTACTCTCTGCAGTTACCGCTACATAATGATAATAATCATATAATAATAATAATAATTACTGATCTTATCAAAATCCATTGTTTTCAGTCTGCATTATCCCAA